CTGTTGAACACGGAGGTTGTATCAAAGCTGTAGTTTATTTTGTTTTCCTCTGGAACTCTTTATACGAATGGAAACAGGAAGTTTTCACAGCACACACGTGCAGCAGCTGAAGTCAGATCAGTTCATCTCAGCATTCAGGACATCGTGAGCCTGGCTGGCTTCACACCTCTAAGTTGCGATTGAACATTAATTTATGCATTTCTGCATAACACAAATAGTATTATTTTCAACACCTTTTGCTATGTCAGCTGAATTTAGCTTTCATAAATATTCATTTTGTAGCTTGACATCCGAAATTGTGTGCTCAGAGCTTTGGGTTAACATTCATTTTGAAGAATAGAGGCCCTCCAGGCATGTTTGTGACCATTCACCCTCTCATTGTGTGCCATAACAGCCCGTGTGATGAATTTAGGACGCTTTTTCACTACATCATGCATATCTATGAATAAGTATAGACGTGTAAGTCACGTGTGACTGTGTATATATGCATTCCACTGTGCCTCGATACTGACGTGTAGATATTCTTTTTTTCTGTCTGCAGCTGTTGCTTCCTCTGCAGAATTGGTCTGATGGAGCAAAGGCACTCGGCGCAGCTCGGTGCCAAAAGGCATCAATGCGACCGGTGTGCATACAGCACGAATCATACTGGACATTTTACACGGCACCAGAGAACTCACACAGGAGAGAAACCCTTCAAGTGCTGTGTGTGTGGGAAGGCGTTTGCACAGTCATCTGCTGTTGTAGAACACCAGAGAACACACACGGGAGAGAAACCCTTCAAGTGCACTCCATGCGGGAAGGCGTTTGCACAGTCATCACATCTTCATGTACACCAGAGAACACACAAGCATCACAAGATCCACAAGGAGTGGAGTCTGAAAGCTTGTGAAAGTCAAAGTGCTGCAATGAGCCCATCCCTCATCAAACAAGAACCAGAAGAAAATCTCAGCTTGGACACTTTTAAAGGTACCAAGGTGAAATATGAAGAGGTGAAGGTGAAATGTGAAGAAGTGATGGTGGAATATGAAGAGGTGATGGTGAAGAGCGAAGAAGTGAAGGTAAAATGTGAAGATGAAGATTCAAGTCCAGAATGGGACCTTCGCATCAATGGAGGCAACGTGAAGCAGGAGGAGAATTCTGACTGTGAGGCAGAGCGAGGCAACTCCCAGCAGCAGTTTGTGGAGGTGGAGGTGTGGATGGACTTCCTCCGAGACAATTCAAAGTCAAATGGAGACCCGGTAGATGTGTAAGCTTGAGACGATGTCGCTCCAATAGATGCACCGTTGTCACAGGCCTTTAATGACAAGAATGTGAAGTTGAACACTCAGTTCCTAGGTTCAACCTGCAGGGTAAGGGTGGCCAGTCTTTGTGGACCTGTGTGTTGGGTAGATCTCTAACCAGGAGCGAGAGCCAATAAGCTCCCAAGCATTCACTCTGTTCTCATAATTGCATTTATATGGTGCTTGCTTAATCACCTCGGCAACTCGGAGTTTTGTATCGTACCTCATCTCAAACACTCGAAGAGCACCCCAAGTGGCAGCTGCCCCTGTGTGGCACAAGGTGGTGGCCCTGCACCGGCCTGCGTATGAACAAGAGCCTGTCAGTAGGGGGCGATGATTGATGTGGCATCTTAGTTGTGTCGTTTGTAGGTAATGTTTAGAATTAAATCGCGACGTTTCGGGCGCGACACAACCTCATGACGGGCGCTTGTGTTGCCCTCGAAACGTGATTTATTTTACTTCTACCCACGTGACTTTACCGAAAGAACCAAAGAGTCTGTGCTTACCAGTTTTTCTACGCGACAATGTATCTTTCTTTCCTTGTTACGGTGACAAAATAAATAAGGTGTCTGTCGCCAAGGCTGTGTCGCGTTCTTGGTGTCGGAAATCGTCGTCGTCATCGTCACGATGGGAAAGCGCGGCGTTCTATCCTTGGGTGCATCGGGACGGTCATGGGACACCCTGGGCTGTGACGTTGAGGCTGCGGGTGGTGCTCCGGTGGCTATGAGATGTTAACTCTCTCGCCTGGTATGCAGGAGGTCGTGGGTTCTATCCAAACTCTGACGCCTGCTGCTGTATATTTGGAGTCTGCGTGTCTCTCATCATCACGGTGGCTAGGAGATGTTGACTACCTCGCCTGGTATACAGGAGGTCGTGGGTTCGATCCCGATCCTAACGCCTGCTGCTGTATATTTGAAGTCTGCGTGTCTCTCTTCCCGTGGCCACGTGGATTTCTCTCCGGGTTTTCCCTCAACATTTAGAATCACAAGGCCCTCAAGAGTGTGTGCATGCTTTAATTTCACCGGTGGGGTAAAATGTGGGTGGTGGTGGTCAACATTTCCGACTGGATATCTGTGATGAAGAGCTTCACAGCTCATCGGATTCCTCCAAGATACATCATCACCGATTCTGTGTAGTCCTACCTCTCCTAAAACAAAGTATCGGCCAGCGTGGAAGAGTAGGCCAAGTTACATCCCACGGAGGCTCTCTCTCCAGAGCTCCCTCGAGAAAACCTACCGTCACAGCGGTGACGCGAGCACTTGCAGGACTGCACCTTTACCCATCGGCATTAGCCGCTTTAAGTCTGCTCCTGTGACCGGGTTACACGTCAACATCGCTACGAGTGTATTTGGGTGAAGTTATTTTTACAACGGCCGAACGTACACACACGCAATGCGCATGCATCGTGTGCATGCGTGATCAACATACGTTGTGTGTGTCGATATAACCCAGTCAGTGACAGACACCCGCTGTCATTCACGACGACATTCACCCCCCCCCCCTTCTGGTCTGCACAACTGATTGCCGAGTTTGTGTTTCGCAATCGGAAGAGGTGTTTGGTTCGTTACTGGAGAAATCTGCCGAGCCACGCGGCTTATTTGTGTTCATTTACACAGATTTCCGGCAAGTTGCAACAAAGAAAGTGACACAAACAACAGCTTCTGCTCTGTGTGTTGAACTTCTTTCGCACCGTACGTAGCCCAGCCGTGCTGATCCACTCGCTGTTCACTACTCACGATGTTTGTCGTTTGCCTTTGCTGCTGTTTAGTTATTTGAGCGGCGCCTCAACGCTGAAGGTCACAGGCAGTCTCAGTCCAGGGCCGTTCAAATAAGTGACTTTCATATTCTTGGTTCTTTCGGTAAAGTCACGTAGAAGGGGAATAATAAAATAATGTAAATATAAAACAATAAAATTTCTCACGTTTCGACTGCAACACAAGCAATCATCATCATCAGGTGTGAAATCCACAGCAAGAAAATTTTAAAAATGTTTTTTCTGTGGATTTCACACCTGATGATTGCTTGTGTTGCAGTCGAAACGTGAGAAATGTTATTGTTTTAAATATTGTATTATTTCCCTTCTACGTGACTTTACCGAAACAACCAAGAATATGAATCCCTGCAGTCACGAAAGCTTTAAAATAGAAATTTAAGTGACTTTCATTTGACCGACGTCGCACGTACAAACACACTGGGCTCGCAACGTGACGCCAATCATTGACTCAGAAGGTCAAACAACCCAGAGGTCACCGCTCCGTCACCCGCCGTCGCTACGGCAGCTGAACCAATGGACACGTTTCTCAAACGCACCCAGCCACCACCCGGTCCAGTCGGTGGGGTAGAGTGTGGGCTACCCCCACTCTGGTGTGTTTTCCCACGGCGTCTGTAGACGTCAGCGTGGAAGAGTAGGCCAAGTAGCCCATCGAGGAACTCTGTCCAGAGCTCCTCAGAGTGGGAAGGCCGTTCTGCCAACAAGAGCCTGAGTAGGGGAATTGCAGGGACCGCACCTTTATCTTCTTTTATCAGCGGATGCTTTGGAGTGGATTGTCAGTGGCGGATCTACAATTCCTTACTGGCTGTCGTGTGTGGCGTAGTGTGTGTGGTGTGTGTGTAGTGTGGTGTGTGTAGTGTGTGTGGTGTGTGTGTAGTGTGTGTAGCGTGTGTGGTGTGTGTAGCGTGTGTGGTGTGTGTAGTGTAGTGTGGCGTGTGTGTGTGGCGTGTGTGGTGTGTGGTGTGTGTGGCGTGTGTGTGTGGCGTGTGTGGTGTGTGTGCGGCGTGTGTGTGTGGCGTGGGTGGCGTAGTGTGTGGGGTGTGTGTGCCGCGCGTGTGTGTGGCGTGGGTGGCGTAGTGTGTGTGGTGTGTAGTGTAGTGTGTGTAGCGTGTGTGGTGTGTGTAGCGTGTGTGGTGTGTGTAGTGTAGTGTGGCGTGTGTGTGTGGCGTGTGTGGTCTGTGTGGTGTGTGTGGCGTGTGTGTGTGGTGTGTGTGCGGCGTGTGTGTGTGGCGTGGGTGGCGTAGTGTGTGTGGTGTAGTGTGTGGGGTGGTGTGTGTATAGTGTGGTGTGTGGTGTGTGTGTGGTGTGAGTGTGTGGCGTAGTGTGTGGCGTGGCGTGTGTAGTGTGTGTGGGTACTTTAACCGTACACCCTGTGGTTCGTGAGCCAAATCCTTAGCAAGTTTCATCCACACACACAGATAAAGAGACAAAAATGACTTTTATAGGTGAGACACTGCATACAAGTGCAGTGCGAAGTCGTGTGAAGTAGTAGATTCAGTGTGACGCGGCTCGCAGGGAAGGGTGCGACGGACCTCGCTGTGAATCCCAACAAGCGCCGAGTGAACGTTGCCCAGATTTGGCAAACGCGGCGTTAACGAGAACAAAGGAATAAACGGAACAACGCCACTTGGTCGCTAAGCGCATTCAAGTGGCGACGTCACAAAACAACGGCGCTTCCACATCGTGAAGATGAAGCGCATGCAGAGTGTGTAGTAGGGTAGTGCATAGTAGGGTAGTGCATAGTGTATATTAGGGTAGTGTATAGTGTATAGTAGGGTAGTGCATAGTGCAGTGTATCAGAGTGTGGCTGGTGGCGTGTCGCACGCGAGTGAAGTGTGTATAGTAGAACGCAGCTCGTAGTGAGGGGTACACGCTGGATGTCGATGCCATAAACAACTTTGTGGGGGTCGCGATCTCAGTCGAGGCCCCCCCTCCACTGGGGCTGGAGGCTACTTGCAAGCGAATTGATCGACGGTCCACGGGCAAAGCTTGCACTTGACGTTCTCCTTGAGCTGCTCCTTGCATCCGCACTGCGTCTCCAGCGTGACTGGGGAGGGAACAGCAGAGGGGAGAGAGCTCACGAGATCGTCGCTATTGTGCGACCGCCGTTAACGTCGAGCTGAACAACATCTCCGCGCACTTCTCCTCCCGACGTCAAACGACCAGAGGTCGCAACCGGGTACCCGATACCCGTACCCTACCCGACACCAGTACCCTACCCGATACCCGTACCCTACCAGATACCCGTACCCTACCCGATACCCGTACCCTACCCGATACCTGTACCCTACCCGATACCTGTACCCTACCCGATACCCGTACCCTACCCGATACCCGTACCCTACCCGATACCCGCACCCTACCGGATACCCGGCTACCCGTACCCGGCCGGGTACGGGTAGCCGTTTGCGACCCTGGTGCGGCCGGGTACGGGTAGACCGTGAGTCACTGGTGAGTCACCGTTTGTCACTCATTTCCCAACGTCTTGTCTCTTCTCACAATTCAAGTTCCTAGAATCAACCCACCCGCGCCTGCAACATGGCTTCGTCCCAGAGGTCGCAAGCGGGTACCCGATACCCGAACCCTACCCGTACCCGGCCGGGTACGGGTACGAGGGGTAAGGAATCAGAACCCGTTTGCGACCTCTGCGAATGACCCGCGGGGAAGCGGCCGTCGCAGAGCCACTGCCGACGAGATCCCTTCGAGCGAGCTAAGGATCACGGAAAGCAGTTCTACAGAAATGCATTTTCGGTGTGATTGCGTGGTGTACGGTACTTATAGTAGTGAAGACTGTGCGTAGTGGTATAGGGTGTGATGGCGTGGTGTACGGTACTTATAGTAGTGAAGACTGTGCGTAGTGGTATAGGGTGTGATGGCGTGGTGTACGGTACTTATAGTAGTGAAGACTGTGCGTAGTGGTATAGGGTGTGATGGCGTGGTGTACGGTACTTATAGTGTTGAAGACTGTGCGTAGTGGTATAGGGTGTGATGGCGTGGTGTATGGTACTTATAGTAGTGAAGACTGTGCGTAGTGGTATAGGGTGTGATGGCGTGGTGTACGGTACTTATAGTAGTGAAGACTGTGCGTAGTGGTATAGGGACGGTGTGATTGCGTGTGTGTACGGTACTACTGTATAGTGGTGAAGAACAGTGTGAAGTGGTATGGAGACAGGGTGATTAGAGAGAGACTGGTGCATGCGTGGAGACAATTAAAATGCAAATCAATTTATAACATGTGGCATGCGTTTTTCTGGATTGTTGCTGTTATTCTGTCTTTTACTGTTCAAATAACCCCACCATTAAAATTACAGACTGATCATTTCTTTGTCAGCGGGCAAACGTACAAAATCAGCAGGGGATAAAATACTTGTTTCCCTCACTGTAACAAGCTGAGATTAGGAGCACTCCCTTTAAGAGTGTGCTCCTAACCTCAGCTCGTTACCTCTATAAAAGACACCTGGGAGCCAGAAATCTTTCTGATTGAGAGGGGGTCAAATACTTATTTTCTTCATTAAAATGCAAATCAATTTATAACATTTTTGACATGCGTTTTTCTGGATTTTGTTGCTGTTATTCTGTCGTTTAATGTTCAAATAAACCTACCATTAAAATTATAGACTGATCATTTCTTTATCAGTGGGAAAACGTACAAAATCAGCAGGGGATCAAATACTTTTTTCCCTCACTGTAGCTCACTGGGCCTTGCCTGGTCAAATATGAAATAGTTGTTGCTTATTAAATCCTTTATATTAAGTTCACTTGCTTGCGCGCTTACGACCGTGCAAATCTTTCGGTCGTTTTTTAACCCACTTCCCGTGATCCAATCGAGCTGACATTTTCCACACAGACTCGTTGTGCGTGACAATTTATTTTCGTGAAATTTTTTTTCCATAACTTTACACTTATTAGGAAAAAATATATATATTTAATTACCAATTGCTTAATGGTGGCAGGCAATCATCTGACCCATAGGTGGCAGCCATCTCAAGCCAGAGGACGAGAGGACTCGAGCCGTCACGCATATAAAGGATTTATAGTGAAAAACTTTGTTTTTACGGGTTAATTTTTAATGACTAGTTTTAGTTAATTTTCGGGGGGGGGGGGGGGTAGGGAGAGGTGAGGGGCGAGGGGCTCACCTTGTGAGATGTCGTATCCTCTGTCACAGCACGTGATGACGGAGCATGCCTCCTTGCCCTCGGAGGTGACGTTGCACCGCCGCCGCACCGTGCCGTTGATGCCGCCAGCGTCGTTGCGCTCGCAGTATCCGGGGCTGGCGCTCACGTGCACCAGATCGCTCACTGTGGGCGCCGTCAAGCGCTCGTTCACCGGCTCCAGACGCCAGCGGGACCAGCGGGTGGCACCAGCAACGCTGCTGCTGCTGTTGTGGCGGACCAGCCGCATGGCGGAACTTGTGTCGTACTTGTGCTGCAACCACCATCATCACCATCGTCATCATCATTATCATCATCAATATCATCACCATTATCACTATCATCACCATCATCATTATTATCACCACCATCATCACCATCATCATTATCATCATTATCATCATCACCATCATCATCACCATCATCATCATCACCATCATCATCACCACCATCATCATCACCACCACGAACACCACCACCATCATCACCATCACCATCATCGGGGGATGTGGTGGTTGTCGAGTGAATGCGGGGAGCTCCCTTAGCTGTTAGGGACCCCCCCCCCCGCCTGTAACCCCCCAATGGATGAATCCTCGTCACACCCACCCACCACACTCCCTCTGGGGGCAGTCCCACCCAGCAGCTGTGAGCAGCTCACCTTCAGCAAGTTCCCAACTTGGTGGAAGTCGGCGAGCTGCTGCCAGCAGATCTTCAGCATGCAGCGGCCAAAAAGCAGGTGGCACTTGCAGTCCATGTGCGCCAGATTGTACACCGCCTGTAGCACCACCACCACCACTACCAGCGTCACTACCACCACCACCACCGTCATCACCACCACCAGACATCACCACCACCACCACCGTCATCACCACCACCAGACATCACCACCACCACCAGCGTCACTACCACCACCACTACCACCACCGTCATCACCACCACCAGACATCATTACGCTAAAACATTACCCGTAGAAGTTCAAGCGAGAACCATTGCGTTAATCACGATTGGTAATACAACCTTAGGCAAGGAGGCCAAACCTAATTAGCATGGAGTAACTTTTTTTTATTATTAAAAAAAAAGACAACATCTACAACGACCCACCACCCCGTTCACACACTCACCAGCCGACCCGCCTCGTTGTCGTGCAAATTCATCGCCAAAGACTCCCCTCTCTGCCTGCTACGACTGCCATCGCCCACATTCACGAACCACTTGGCGAACTGGTATCCGTATTCGACGTCGTCCGATGAGCCGCCCCGCCGAGCACGCGGCGGTAGCCTCATGGCGTCGGGAACGACCCAGGAGCAGCTGCCCCGGAACTGCCCCTGGCGGCAGCCGCGCGCCACCACGTGGGACACTCCGGCGGCGACGATGGCGGAGAGGAACGCATCCTCGCGAGAGCCGGGGGACACGCCGGGGAACACTCCCATGGTGTAGCGCGTGAAGCCTGCCGGGGCGGCGGGGGGAGGAGGACATGCCGAGCAGGTGTAGGGGGGAACGTCGGCTATTTGTAACGTGAGGTTACATCCGGGTCGTTGACGGATTACAACTCGTCACGATGATTGGCTCTGCCGGTCCTGGTCCATAGCCAATGGGGGGAAGCCTGGGGGCGTGGCCCTGACGTCATGGCAAGGTGACAGCTGTTTGTAGATGATTGGCCCTGCTGGCTTTGGCCACAGCCAATGGGGAGACGAGTCAGGGGCGTGGTCCCGGGAGCCTACGATGGAGTCTGGAAGATTCCATGGAGGCTAACCGGGATTGGTGGAAACGTACCACGTGACCCGGGTATTAAATAGGGGTGGAGACGAACAACACGTGGTCAGAACGGGAACGAACGGAGGAAGGGGGCCACGCAAGAACGGGGGTCCAGGCTGCCACGTGGCTGCGCGTGTCTCTCTCTGTCTATCCCTCTTACGCTGCCTGTCAGCAGCGTGTCAATGTCACTACCACCACCACCGTCAAGTCACTATCACCACCACCACCACCACCGTCAATGTCACTACCACCACCACCGTCATCGTCACCACCGTCACCACCACCACCATCGTCAAGTCACTATCACCACCACCATCGTCAAGTCACTACCACCACCACCACCACAGTCATCGTCACCACCACCACCACCATCGTCAAGTCACTGCCACCACCACCAAAAGCCGAGTGGCGTAGGGGAGGGGGACCCCCGTGGAGGAGGGACGCGGCAACTCTGAAGTGGAAAGTTGCGATGGGGAGCTGGACGACCCCCCCCCCCTTCACCCCCCCACGCAGCTCGTGTGCGCCTCGGGGAAGCGGCAGGAGACCCTAGGTGCGAGTGGACGTGGCGGGCGAACAAACGTCAACGTCGAGGGGAAACTCGCTTGTTGCCGGCAGAGGCTCCGACCCGGGGCGACGGTCCCCTTACCTGACTCGGGGTCCGGCGCGTTCTCCGCGCCAGGCACGGTGCAGTCCCACCGCTTGCCCTTGAACTGGTCGCGACACTCATGCAGCGCCAGGCGGACGCCCTGCACCACCGCGTGCATGTGGTCCAGGCGGCGCAGGCACATCTTGCGCTGCACGGGGGATAGTCCCGGAGCCCCGATGCACAGCGGCCGATACTCGGTGGTGTTAGAGTGGAGGGCCCACTGCGCAAGCGGCCTGCAGAGGGGTGGGAGTCGCGGTGGCTAGGAGATGTTAACTACCTCGCCTGGTGTACAGGAGGTCGTGGGTTAGATCCCGAACCTGACGCCTGCTGCTGCTGTATATTTGGAGTTTGCGTGTTTCTCTCTCTCATCATCACGGTGGCTAGGAGATGTTGACTACCTCGCCTGGTGTGCAGGAGGTTGTGGGTTCGATCCCGACCCTGACGCCTGCTGCTGTAGATTTGGAGTTTGCGTGTCTCTCTCTCTCTCATCATCATCACGGTGGCCAGGAGATGTTGACTACCTCGCCTGGTCTACAGAAGGTCGTAGGTTCGATCCCGACCCTGACGCCTGCTGCTGTATATTTAGAGTCTGCGTGTTTCTCTCTCATCATCATCATGGTGGCTAGGAGATGCTAACTCCCTCGCCTGGTGTGCAGGAGGTCGTGGGTTCGATCCCGACCCTGACGCCTGCTGCTGTATATTTGGAGTCTGCGTGTCTCTCTCATCATCATCACGGTGGCTAGGAGATGTTAACTACCTCGCCTGGTACGCAGGCAGTCGTGGGTTCGATCCCAACCCCTTAAAAAATGCCTGCTGCTGCATGTACGTGTTGAGTTTGTGTGTCTCTCCCCATGGTCGCGTGGATTTTTCTCCAGGTCCCTCTGGTTTTTCCTCCTCCTCCTCCTTCGCATTTAGAATCAACGTCTCTACGCGTTTGGGGGGTCATCCGCTATAAATGACCACGTGATGATGATAATATCGGCCACTCCCTTGAGCTACAATGTGCGACAGACAGACCACTCCTGAGAGAGCTGCAATATACAATGTCAAAGAGCTATCTGTGGAATTTCTACAGGTTTTAAATGTGAATATTATTACGCCATGTATACACACACCAGAGGTCGCAACCGGGTACCCGATACCCGTACCCTACCCGATACCCGGCTACCCGTACCCGGCCGGGTAGGGTACAGGTACGGCTACCCGATTGCGACCTCTGGGATGAAGCCATGTTGCAGGCGCGGGTGGGTTGATTCTAGGAACTTGAATTGTGAGAAGAGACAAGACGTTGGGAAATGAGTGACAAACGGTGACTCACCAGTGACTCACGGCCTACCCGTACCCGGCCGCACCAGGGTCGCAAACGGGTACACGTACCCGGCCGGAGGACCACAGAATAAAAAAAAAAGCTTATACGACCACGGGGAAAACATAGCAACTCCAACTATACGGCGTGTTATAAGGTCGCAATTGAACCCACGACCTCCTGCATAACAGCCGAGGTAGTCAACATCTCCTAGCCACCGTGGTGCCCGCTAGACATTGTGTACCTAGTGTATATACACACACGCACACGCGCACGAGATAAAACAAACATTCCCGTACAACAACCGTATGGGGTGTGCAACATATTGGCGAGATAAGAAGGTTGCTTAACGTCGAAACTTGTGCGATCGTCGCAGCAGTGAGGAGGAAGACAGCAGCGTTGGCGTCTCGCGTTTACCACCAAGAGGAGCTGCCCACTGCCCACAGCTGTGTCAAGACGCAGAGACCCAGCAGAGGGCAGCAGTCCATGCAGTGCAGGGAGCCCATCGCAATCCTCGTGGTCAGCTGCGCGCCGCAGAAGAGACGCGGGCCGTGACGATGTTAACACCCTCGCCTGGTACGCAAGAGGTCGTGGGTTCGATCCCGACCCTGACGATGCCTGCTGCCGTATCTTTTTAGTTTTCATGTCTCGCTCATCGTCATCGTCATCATCATCATAACGGTGGCTGGGAGATGTTAATGACCCCGTGTGGTACGTGGGATCGAACCCACGACCGCTTGCGTACCAGGCAAGGAGTTAACATCTCAAGTTCAAGTTCAAGTACTAGGTGTAGCGCTGTGAGCCATTCGGCTCTTGAATTGGGTGCAACCGCAACAAACAAAAGACAAAAACATGAACAAGAAAACATCTTAAAGTGACTATGTGACTAAGTGCAAACAGAAAATCCAAGAAACGACAGCAAAATGTTGCAGAAAAAAACACCGTTACACCAACGCTGTGCAAACATCCCAGTGGGATGCAAGTCAAACAACAACAACAACAACCACAAGACAACTTAGATTAAGGCCATCAGTCTTACTCCGTACTACAACAAACGTGGTCAAACCAGTAAACTTTTCGAAATCACCAAAATAAAAGCAATGAAACAGTGATCATAGGAACTGTGACGGAATTTTCACAATCTATATATATAAAATCGTGAATCTGTCTGTCTATCTGTCTGTCTGTGTGTCTGTGTGTCTCCGGACCATACGCACTTTCATTGGACGCCGGTTGCCCCTGCCAACGGCTAGCGACGCCTTCGCCGCTTTCATTGGACCTGGCAACGGCTAGCGACGCCTTCGCCAAGGGCTGCAGTTTCATTAGACGGCGGTTGCCCCTGCCAATGGCTAGCCACGCCTTCGCCACTTTCATAGGCTCCGTAATTAATTAAATAATAGCCATTACTCAGTATTGTTCGAGCGCTAGGGGGGGGGACCGGCACCCGTACCCAGCGTCAGCCGGGTGGGAAAATCAGGCGAGGCGGGAGGCTCTGCACGGTGCTAGGCCTCGACACCCACCACGCGAATCTAAGGTAAATTAATAAAAGTTTCACGTCCTCTACAGAGTCGTGAGGGAGGGAGAGTGGCGAGGGAGGGAGAGTGGCGAGGGAGGGACTCAGCCTCAAAACGAGTAACTGGTGTGGCGTTTTCACATCGGCACTGGGGAGACAAAGGCGGCCGGGCGTGGTGGATCCAAGTCCCGGGCGAAGCCGGGTCATGTGTATGTGTTTATGTGTATGTCTGTGTGTCTCTATGTATGTGTGTATGTATGTGTGTGTATGTGTTTGTGTGTTTGTATGTGTGTGTGTATGTATGTCGGTTTTTTTTATGTGTTTATGTGTATGTCTGCGTGTCTGTATGTATGTGTGTATGTACGTGTGTGTATGTGTTTGTGTGTATGTATGTGTGTTTGTATGTATGTGTGTGTATGTGTTTCTGTGTATGTATGTGTGTGTATGTATGTGTGTTATGTGTCTGTCTGTGTGTCTGCATGTATGTGTGTGTGTATTGTGTATGTGTTTGTGTGTATGTATGTGTGTGTTTGTGTGTATGTGTATGTCTCTGTGTATGTATGTGTGTGTATGTGTGTGTATGTGTTTGTGTGTATGTGTATGTATGTGTGTGTATGTGTGTGTGTCTGTGTGTGTGTCTGTGTGTGTGCGTGTGTGGTGTGTGGGGAGCGGTAGTGTAGTGGTTAGCGTGCTCTCGGTGTGTCTGTGTGTCTGTCTGTGTGTGTCTGCGTGTGTCTGTGTGTGTGTCTGTGTGTGTGTCTGTGTGTGTGTCTGTGCGTGTGTGGTGTGTGAGGAGCGGTGGGTGTAGTGGTTAACGCTACGCTGCGCTACCAACCCGGCGAACCGAGTTCCATTCCCGCTCACGGCCACCACCGGTGACGATTATTTGAACCTCCCCTAGGTCGACTCAGCCTCAAACGAGTAACTGGTGGCGTATTAACATCGCCACTGGGGAGACAAAGGCGGCCGTGCGTCAGTGGTGAGAGAGGGAGAGTGGTGAGGGAGGGAGAGTGGTGAGGGAGGGAGAGTGGTGAGGGAGGGACTCAGCCGCAAAACGAGTAACTGGTGTGGCGTATTAACATCGCCACTGGGGAGACAAAGGCGGCCGGCCGTGGTGGATACAAGTCCCGGGCGAAGCCGGGTAGTACAGCTAGTAAACGACATAAACATGTACCACCAGAACCCTGCAGCCACAGCTGGCTGCTGCATGAGTCACTCCACAACAGCAGCAGCATCAATCGGAGTATCAACATTTTTCAATGCACCTTTAAGATCAGCACACTAAATCAAAACACAGGTTATACTTTGCAGCGATCATCCGGAGCGAAACATTTTATTTTAGGCCACTGAATAGCACATTACACTGGTAATGTGTTATATATATATACACACACACAGTGTTATATATATACACACACACAGTGTTATATACACACACACACAGTGTTATACACACACACACACAGTGTTATACACATACACACACAGTGTTATACACATACACACACACAGTGTTATACACATACACACACACAGTGTTATACACACACACACACCCAGTGGCGTACCAGGCACTCATGAGGCCGAGTAGACCTAGGGGAGGCCCATGACCGGTTCAGATAATCGTCACCGGTGTTGGCCGTGAGCGGGAATCGAACCTAACACTTGCACACACACACACAACACTGGTAATGTGTTATACACACACAGTGTTATACACACACACAGTGTTATACACACACACACAGTGTTATACACACACACACAGTGTTATACACACACACACATACACACACACGTACCTTCGGGGCGAAGCGGCTAAGGAACGAAATCCTTTCGCGTGAAGACGAAAAGAAACCGCATCCGCAATGTGGCCCCATTCCTAATCAAATAGACGGCGATCGCAAACGAGTTTCCCCGTCGTCGGCACCATCTCACCTGGCAGGTAGACAGACAGGCACGCAGCCTGGCAGGCGGGCAGGCAGGTAGACAGGCAGGTGGGCAGGTAGACAGGCTGGCAGGCGGGCGGGCTGGCGGGCTGGCAGGTAGACAGGTGGGCAGGCAGGCAGGTAGGTCGGTAGGTAGGCAGGTACACAGACAGGCAGGTAGACAGGTAGTCAGACAGGCAGGTAGGCAGGTAGACAGGCAGGCAGGTAGACAGGCAGGTAGACAGGCAGGTAGACAGGCAGGTAGACAGGCAGGCATACAGGTAGACAGGTAGACAGGCAGGCAGGTAGACAGGCAGGCAGGTAGACAGGCAGGTATACAGGTAGGCAGGCTGGTATACAGGTAGGCAGGCTGGCTGGCAGCACAAGGTGAGGAATAAACT